TTTAGTTTGAAATTTAATTTTACAACTGTTGTCAATGCAATACAATGCATATGGTGTATAGTACAATATGATCAGCAAATGATAAATTGTTGTATTATTTTTTGCCCATATAGATTTCTATAAAAAATTATTATTGTCATTATATAATAAACGCCATTGTCATTTGAAAAATTAATTAAAATTGAATTTTGTTTTAAATTATATAAGTTAAGGACATTAATTTAATTTAATGATTTATTTTTTAATACCTTCAATAAATTAATTCATTTAATAAGTATTATATAAAATACATTTTACTTATCAATTGTAACCAATGGAAGCAAATAGTGATATGAATTGGCATTTGAAATGTTATCATAAAATAGTTGTAAAGGTTTTTGTAAATACGTGGCAAACAATTATATTTGATTGATAGTCGACATTTTAACAAACATTTTAAACAAAATTTAAAATTAGTAATAAATATTTCAAAAATGTCATTGATTATAAATGAATTTGAAATTTGTGCTAAAGTTTCTTATACAATGAAACAAACTATTGTTTTATTTCATGTATTTGGGTTATATAAAAATAGAGACATAATATTCATAACAAATGAGGACAAAGTGTATGGTTTGGGAAATAATTCTGATGGACGTCTGGCTTTAGGACACAATAAACCCATCGATTCGCCGCATATTATCCCAGAGTTGTGTCACAAAAGGATTCAACACTTCTTTATCGGCGATGGCTTTGTGTTGGCTATGAGTGACTCAAACTGTATATACAGTTGGGGTCACAATTCGTGCGGACAGTTGGCTAGAGATGTGACACCTTTTGGTGTTTATTTAAAACCTCATAAGATATTATTCTTTGACAATAAAAATATCCAACAAATCAGTTGTGATTCACAACACAGTCTGGTCCTCACAGTCGATGGACAGGTGTACGGATGGGGCAGTAATAATGAGGGACAGTTAGGTTGTGAGACAACTAATGCCACAATCAGTGAACCATTTCTGTTGACATTTAATAATAATTATAAAATACAAACAATTTATTGTGGTTTTTGTTCCTCATTTGCAATCACTTCCAATGGATTGTTATTAAGTTGGGGTCTATTTAATAATAATGAAAAATTACAAAATAGACCAGGGTTAGTTAGTAAACCAGAATTAATTCATGAAAGGACAGGTGTACGGATGGGGCCGTAATAGTGAGGGACAGTTAGGTTGTGAGACAACTAATGCCACAATCAGTGAACCATTTCTGTTGACATTTAATAAAAATTATAAAATACAAACAATTTGTTGTGTTATGTGTTCCTCATTTGCAATCACTTCCAATGGATTGTTATTAAGTTGGGGTCTATTTAATAATAATGAAGAATTACAAAATAGACCAGGGTTAGTTAGTAAACCAGAATTAATTCATGAATTAAAAGATATTATAACCATTTCAAGATCGTGTTGGTTGGAAAATCAAAAATCAAAAATAATTTGTGAAAAGTTTTGCTTTTTAACGGCATCTGGTTCAATATATTATTGTGATATAAGCTATAAATCAGATGATGTATCTGGGATGTATATTTATCTTCATGGTACTGAAATTAAGAAATATGAAACAAAACATATATTTCAAGACATCTATAAATATAATTATTTAAATGCAATAATACTCTCAAATGGAGAAAACATAATAGAATTAATCGAATCAAACGAATTGGTTGAAACCAAACACAAAAAGATAAATGATTACTATATATCTGAATACCAATTAACTTACGGTACGATAAATTTAAGGCAGGATTTTGATCGGAAACTATTAACCCAAACATCAATCATGGGTTCGGGGGCTATTGGTTCTGTATGTAAAATACAAAATAACCACGATCAACTATTTTATGCAGTAAAAATTATTAAAACTAAAGGTAAAAATTCAATAAAATTTAAATTAAAAGATTTTCATATGACTACATTCTATTTTAGATTTTAATGCAAAGGATTTATCAAGAATATATACTGAAATTAAAAACTTGGCAAAAGTGGACTCAAAATATTGTGTCAAGTATTACGGCTTTTGGGTGGAAATGGACTCCTATTACATACAAATGGAGTTGTGTTCAGAGAGTCTGCGGAATATTCTTAAACACAAACCCAAAGAATTTGATCGACAATCAGGAGAATCAATGAATTGTTACGAGTATTTCATTTCGTGTGAAATATTCCGAGAGATCTTAGAATGTGTTCAGTATTTGCATGAATTGAATCCACAGATCATTCACAGAGACCTCAAACCCCACAATATATTGATTGATAGGAACGGACGGAACGGAAGATTTGTTAAATTATGTGGCTTTGGTTTGGCTACAGTTCACGACAAAAGTAAACATACGGCAGATGTGGGAACAATTGGGTTTATTGCCCCAGAAGTGGTAGAGGGTTTAAAATATAACAACAAGTGCGACGTCTATAGCCTGGCTATAATCGGGGAACAAATATTTGAATTTGATTTTTCTAACATCGACCCTGACAAGTATATTACTTAACATATAGTATAATACATAATGTTTATACCGGCATATTTATTAATTTCTTTTATTTAATAGTTTACAACCGTATTCGTCAAATATCACTAGTTTGAATGAGCCTGTATCAATTTTACAAAAATTACTACTTTTAATGCAAACCACACCTCAATGGCCTAAACGTCCGGAATGTAGTGAAGTGTTAGCGAAATATAACGAGTGGTCTATCGATAAGAATATTCTCGCAAATGATCCCACTTTTGAGTCAACATATAGTAGACATCATTTAAATCCGGATTCATTTTATGATAAATATTTTCAAAGTTTAAGACAAGATTTTGATCGGAAACTATTAACCCAAACATCAATCATTGGTTCGGGTGGTTTTGGTTGTGTATATAAAATACAAAATAACCACGATAAACTATTTTATGCAGTCAAAATTATTAAAACTAAAGGTAAAAATTCAATAAAATTTAAATTAAAAGATTTTCATTTGATTTCATTCTATTTTAGATTTTAATGCAAAGGATTTATCAAGAATATTTACTGAAATTAAAAACTTGGCAAAAGTGGACTCAAAATATTGTGTCAAGTATTACGGCTTTTGGGAGGAAAAGGACTCCTATTACATACAAATGGAGTTGTGTTCAGAGAGTCTGCGGAATATTCTTAAAGACAAACCCAAAGAATTTGGTCGACAATCAGGAGAATCAATGAATTGTTACGAGTATTTCATTTCGTGTGAAATATTCCGAGAGATCTTAGAAAGTGTTGAGTATTTGCATGAATTGAATCCACAGATCATTCACAGAGACCTCAAACCCCACAATATATTGATTGATAGGAACGGACGGAACGGAAGATTTGTTAAGTTATGTGACTTTGGTTTGGCTGTAGTTCACCAAAAAAGTATTCATTTGTTAACATCTAAAAGACATACATCAGGTGTGGGAACCCTGGGATATATAGCACCGGAAGTCCTAATGG